TTGACGGTATGAAATTTTCAGGGTAAGATCGGAATGATGTTGAATAAAACATGTATTTTACATATAGTATTCAGGAATTGTGTTGAACCTTGTCAAACATAGTGTAACATACAATTAGATTACTAAAAAAAAACCAACAAAAACAAACATTCTGGTAATCTGATTATATAAAAGTTTATGTTATCAGAAGTGTTCCCGAATAAAAAAATAATAGCTCTATTGGTTTTGTAACATTTTGTTTTTGAATTTTGTAATACTCCTCCAACTTTTGTTAATCCACATTTTTAAACATGCTTAAGAATATTTATTCGCTATTATTAAATCAGTTACACACGTGTGCAGACACACACACAAAACTACAACAATATGTTTCAAACATTTCTTAATTTTTTTAACACTTCTACCAAACTTGACTCTTTATAACTTTATTAAAAGTTTAGTCTGATAAAATGCCCGAAATTTCAGAAAACGTAATAAAAGTGTACTTCAAATATATGTGGATTTAAACTTATTGTGAACATCAAGTTTTCTAATCCAAAAATAAATAAAGTTTTCATAATTTTGTTTACAATTCACATATTTGACATCATTATCTTCGGTAAATTGGAGGTTCTATAAAATGTATAAAATATTATTATATTGTTCATGTTTGTTTTTTCTCATATTGAAGCGTTTGCATATTGCAATTAAATTAAGTTGAAATTGCATATAGTACACAGTTTGGAGATAGTAAAATAATGTCTATGTTTTTTTTCAGGTATTTTTTCCCTATTAATCGTTTAGAAGGAGTACAGCTGGACTTGGAAACTACAGTGAACAATGCTATGAAGTTTGATACCGCTGAAGACTTTAGAAAACTGATTTCAAGGTATCGTGCTTTTCCAAAACAGGTAAGAATAAAACATTAGTAATTATACTTGTCAGAAGACATTAGTATTAAACCTATCATATTTTGCTAACCTTACCTTCTTATTCAGTCCATTTAACAATTGTTAAAAATAGAATAACTTAGAATATAATCTTTAGTTATTCTTCAATCCGTATATTCTTATCTTACAGTAAATATTTAAGTTATAAAGTCAAATGATCAGAAAAAACCTAAAAACCATCCTTTAAAAAAAGTTAGAAATAGATAAATCAAGACTTGAATTCTTATATTATTAATTGGAAACGTTTACCAGAGCTGCTTTGTGAGATATAATTAATTTTTTTGGTAATAATTTTGATAATACATGACATAACTTGCATTGTGCATTAAACCTCAAATAGTCAATGGCTTTTGTTGCGAGTTCTGTATCGGTGGTCTAGCAGTATCCTTCTGAGAATCTTGTTAACATTTTGATACAGAGTGTGAACACACTTCTCCAGTAAGCTTCGAAGTACTCAACCAATAAATTCTTTTGCCATCGTTTGTACACAAACAACGTTCGTCCAAATACAAATAACGATTGGTAAAACGAATTTAAAATACAAAAGTTGGTATTTTAGCCAAAACAGTGCATTAAGTGAACTTAAAAAATACAAAATAGTCTACTTACCGAATTATTAAATGACTCAAGAAACCTTCTTACTTTATAAAGTTAAATAATTTGAAAGTGCGATAGCTATATAGAGAAGATAAAACAAGTTATAACATTTCACTATCAACATCATCCAACATAAAGTTATCATCTGAAGCTGTTGCATCATCATCATCATCATCTGAATCACAAGAGCCTTCTGAATGGTCAGTTTCGAAGTCAGTGTTAAATTCCACGTCTGCCGTTGTCCCGTCGTAAAATGTCTCCTTCAAACTACAAGGGTTCGAGTTTTTCATCTTTGATTATCTAGCCATGGACTGGGAAAATCTGATTTTGGAATATTCGCTCGCTTCCAAATAGTAACCTTATAATTAGCACCTCTGATGTATTGAGTCAACACTTTCACACAAGGAAGTAGCTTAGTAAGGTAAATATTCCCGCCAAAACTAAGAGTTCCATCAGGTCCACCACATTTCTCCTTAAGAGAGGCAAAACACAAATCATCAATATATTTGTAGCAAGGTTTGCCATACAAGGTGCATGTAAATTATTCTAAACTTGTCTGCAAGTTGTCAGGAATAATTCAAAAGCTCCCTAGGATAGCGATAACTGGTTGGAATGCTGGCATATTATGGAGGACTTTAATTTGCCGCCCTTTGCCTATACCTTTGAACGCATTTGTTGTGTCACAATGTGTTAAGGCATGTAAAGCCATCACAGTAGTACAAAGCTCTTGACCATGGTCACGTGTAAGTTCTGTTATATTTATGAGTCTTTTTTTCTTGTCAGTCTTGTGTGAAACATTAGAGTTATTGTCAAGGTTCAATGCACAGTGAAGAAAACATCGCCATCCGGACTTCTAATTCGCACAGCTTCATATTCATTTTATTGATCATATATGTAGCAAATAATTATTCGTATATTGGTTTCTTCCTGAGTTGAGAACAAAGAAGGTATTACTGTTTTCTGTGTTGTCTTTCCATTATATGTTTTCAGCAAATGTGCATGATCTTCGACGACTGCAATCACTTTTGTTTTTGCTAACTTTTATGCAAAGTCATCATCATTCAATGCATCCTAAAGGAGTTGAACCAGTTGTAACCTATTCTCGCCATTCAACAGAAACGTTTTCAAGTTGATAGGTTTCTTTACTAGTTATCCTTTACGATCAACTTCTCACCATACCCACGTCTCTCACATTCCTCTCCTTAACTGAGAATGTTTTGTATATGTCTGTGCTAAATATGACAACTATATGACACATGTTTCATAGATTTGTTCATGCAATCAAGAGTTTTCGGTTTATATTTTTTCACTGGTTCAAAGAAGCGGTCTTTGTTTTCAAGTCTCTCAAAGATGAAGTTATTCTTGGCTTGGCTTTCGACCACTTCAGCTGACATGACTTCCTTCTCAATATTAGCTGGAGCTAGAACGCCTAAACAAATGTTGTAAAGTTTATTATGGTCTGGAACATTGAATGCGTTTAGAAAGCTAATTACTGCCTTCATGGTTCCGGTGACTGTTCTCTCATTTTTTGAATTTCTGCTGGTCTGAGCTCTTTATATTTTCTTCCATCTTGTAAATCAAACAACATATCCGCCTTAGAGAATGAGACATCTACAAATTGAGCTCTTTCATATGTTGTTTTTACCTGCTGCTAATAAGCCATGAAATTATTGAGAAGTCCAGTTAGGTTGGCTCAACATCCACCTGTACCACCGTGAGACTTAGCATGTTTCATGAACGTTTCTACGATGGTTTTATCCACTGTCTATCTGTTCCCTTGCACTATTGAGCTAGCCACACTGAATGCTCCACCTTTCATCAGTTCTGTAGCACCAGGGTGTGTTTCTTTAGGAATACTGAGAATAAGGTAACGTACCACGAATAATTATATTCATTCAAACTATAGAAAAAAATCAGCCATCAGGTACAGACAGTAAATATACATTGGGTAGCTGTCCGTCTTGAATGCTTAAACGTGTTTAAACATCAGCTAAACATAGTCCGTATAGGACATCCGAGTTTTCCTTTAACAACATCAGACCTGAACTCGCAACATTCTTGGATATAAGATTTTACTATTTTATCTTTCAATACAGATGTGAGTACTTGCTTTAATGGAGAATCCAATAGGCTGACAAGAATTTTCTGTGACTCTTTTTGCAGATTTGACATTAGCTGATCCTAGCATTGTTGATAGAAATACTTGCAGAAGCAACCTTTCAAACACTCCGGGCAGTATTTTATGGCATTTCATGGCCCTGTTGTATTGTTTACCAGATAACACACCATGAAGTGACCCAGAAGTTATGAGACCCACTTCTGTTAGTACATCTGAAAGTCCAGTGCCACTCATTTTGAAATAAGTGCACATCACATGGAAGGAACTGATCATCATGATGTGGTTGCTATACCTTTCTGGACTCCTCCAGATATTTGGATACGCCTTTATACAAATGACAAGATTAAAGGTGGTTATGACATACTTCTGACCCACTTCTTTGGATAGTTGAAGACCGGATAATAGTCAATCATTGTAGTTTTCGCTGGATTGTCTCCAGTGGCAGAGATATAGCTGGCCCGTCCCAATCCTTTCTGGCCTGATTTTGCACTACGCATTTGTACAAATACCCATCGAAGTTCCTCTTTCTGTGCAGGTACATCTGCATACATTAAATGAAGGAACTTTTTCTGTGTAATATAACACTCAGGAAAATATTGTGAGTATTGTATTTTCAATGATCTTTCTCTACTTCTTTTTAAGAAGGTAACTTGAAGAACATCGGTTGTTGTTAGTTTATCAAGAACTGGATCATCACCTTCCTCAATTAGAGTGCCTCTTTCTTGAAGCATGATACCATGACCTGTATGTATTAAAGGCTGATGATGTGAGCTTATTAAAATCTAAATGATGGCTCAGGTGGGTTTTTTATGAGTTGGATTGGCAGTAACTCTGTTGACTGTTGAAGTGCATTTGAAAGTGTTGTCTCAAGCTCAAGTGAAAAGCTGTAATTTTCAGAGTGTCCAAATCTCTTGATAAGAGTTGACACTTCTGCACTCCGAAACATGTGGCACATTAACATACATAGAAAAATATGTTCAAGCAATTTCCATTAACCATTCGTTGCTGCTCCACAAAGATCTTGTCAAATTGATTGGACAAGACGTGAAACCCTGAAAGATGATTCTTGTGTGTACTTTCCTGTTATAAGAAAATTTCCGAGAAAGAAATTTCTCAAGTTCCTTTGGAATGGTGAATTTCAAGCTTTTGAGGTATATAGCAGTAGGCAACCATTGAAGTGGTTCAGCTTGTTGAAATTCATCAAATTTAGAAGATTTCACATGAAGGGCAACTTTTTTTGTCTTGTAAGCAGTTCCAAGTAAATATGTGAGGTTATGACCATTATAACATTTCTTTTGTAACCTGTATTTCCCAAAGTATGAATGAACAACAACACTACCATTTGTAAAATATCAGGCAGGTGCAAAATGACAAAGTACGAATTTTATTGACGGGATGCAATGTGTGTGTGTGTGTGTGTGTGTATATGTATACTGTTTGGGAAGGATGCAAGTTAGCGACTCCCAATCCATGGGATATATGATACAAGGTTGGCACGCAGAAAGTGTTAATCATCGACATGGATTCAATCATACCTAACCTGGGATAATTATCAATTTTCATCCAAAGCAGGTTGAAAATATGTCAAAATCTTTCCTGAATCTTTTTCCCTTAAAAGTGTGACGGATTTACTATTATATATATATCTATTTTAATATCGACGTTTGTTTAAGTTAAATTTATATTTAGAAATATACATAACTTATACTGTTAAATTTGTATTGTGAAATTCCCGTCTATTTACTAAAGTTGTAGAAGATTCTCGAGTTTAAGAGTGAACAATACGTCTGTGTACGTAAACATTAGTGTATCGTCAGTATTGTTGCGTAAGCTGAAATTTCGAGAAACTCTCTTCACGCTTATAAAGATAACCAACGCGACGTGC